TAACTATGTTTATAAAAGACTAGATCCATGATTAAACAGAAAAAATTAGCCGAATTAATTAAAAATTCATCAATTAATTTATTAAATATGCACTGTATAATCTTATGTACATTGTTTTTCTCTGTAATTAAAGGTGCTGGGAAAACAACATTATTGAACACCTTAGCTGGAAGAACACCTCTTACTTCAGGGACCATAACTTTTGATCAAGAGCATATTGGAAAACAACACAAGAGAAGAATTTGCTATGTTCTTCAACAAGATATTTTCTTCCCAAACCTGACCTTAAGAGAGACATTAAAAGTGAGTTTTAATAAATCTTTCATTTTGTTGTCTGTTTCTGTATTCATTTTGAATTTGATTTTATTCATAAAAAATCATTAAAAATACAGTAATTTTTTAATCTTTTACTTTCTTTAATACCTGTATTCCTGGCTATGTTCGGGTACCTGATCATGTCTTTCCTTTAATTGTTCTTATTTTATTTTCAAAATTGTTGTTTTTAATCATACTTGATGCAAACATTGGCTTAGGCACATTTTCCATATTTGTTTCAACAGTTTGCAGCCATGATAAGAATCTCGGATAAAGTCAGCTATGAAGATAAAATGAACCAGATGGAAGATGTTGTAGAAGCCCTTAGTCTGAAGAATTGTCTTGACACAAGTAAGATCGCATTAGAATTTTAATTACTGTTAGAAATTCATCAGTACTATAAACTTCTGTTCAAGGAGATGAAAAGAGATGCTGGGTATAGTGTTCCCTACTTGTCGTTCTGCTCTGAAGGTGACATAATAATACATGCGCAGTCAAACATTCTTATTGAAAACTTTTCCAGACCATGTTATAAAAATGAAACTCTGAGTCATCATGGTTATCAGGAAATTTGAGATACTAAGGTTAGAATATAGAAAGGAAAAGAGGTTGAAACTTCCAGCACACAAATCTTCAAAATAAGCATGGTATTTGATAAATCAGGGTAAGAGATACCAAAGTTACACTGTATGTTAATAAACTTGTAGTGGTTGGAGGAGACATGATGCCAGGACTCTCAGGAGGGGAGAGGAAGAGGGCCAACATTGCTTGTGAAATCCTGACTGATCCCTCCATCATACTGTTAGATGTATGTACAGTATAGAATTCTAGAATATAGAAAGTTCAGCTAATCATGGACAAGTGCACACAGGTGTTGCAATGTCTCAAAAAGCACAAATGAAGATACTCCAGTCTCCTTACTCTACATTAATTTGTCATATTTCTTTCTTATTTGCAAAAGCCACAAACATTGTTACGACATTGATATCAGAGATTTTAAGAAAGTAGTAAATGATATTAAAGAAACTGATAAATGTACATGTATGAATTTTAGGAACCTCTTACTGGACTTGATGCAAGCACAGCATATAATCTGGTGAAAATGCTACAGACTTATGCCTCTTCACATAATAAAGTCATCATAGCCACAGTTCATCAACCCTCGTCCAAGCTCTTCTTCTCCTTTGATAGCCTCCTTCTAATGTGTGAGGGTCAGGTAGGTCAGAGGTCAAAGGAATATGAATATTGAAATTGAAAAACGTAAAACCGTCAAATCTTGAAATTAAAAAAAAAAAAAAATATATATATATATATATATACTTTATTCAGTCATTGTCAGGTGATAAATAGAAATATATTTGGAGGATGTCCAAAGACTTGCAAATTTTCAACAAAGAATTTTTAAAAATATTTTTATGGAAGTAAAAATCATTATTTAAACTTATAATGTTTTTTTTTTTTTAAATAGAATGCATACTATGGTAGCACAGATAAAATGGTTGAATACTTTGATAACATTGGTGTTGAGATTGCAGAAGGATTTAACCCAGCAGATATAATTTGTGAGTATTTCAAATTAGTTTTTTGTTAAGCAGAAAGTTACATAATTCTTATATCTCATAGAGACCAAAAATTCAGCCAATACCTATGGATTTTATTTTTCTAGTGGAAAAGATGAAGGACTGTTCAGATACAAAGACAAAGATATTAGCAGCTGCTAAAAAAGTCAGGTGAATACAAAGCTAATTCTGAACCAAATGAAGTGATTTGGAAATTCATGAGTTTATTTTATGGAAGTTTTCTCACAAATATTTTCTTTCATGATACTTGTGTGACTGTTCCAACAGAATACAAGAGGACTGGCCTCTTCATAACAAGTCTGATTCCTTAACATATAATGATCCTGGGTCTCCCACAATGCTGAAACCTCCACAAAATAAAACTAAGAAACCATCTTTCTTGGTTAAGTTTTCCAGAGAGAAAAAAGCCAAGTCTGATGAAGATGGTAAGGATCCTTCAGTATTTATTTTTAAAATAATCCACTATTTAGGTACACTTACACACAGCAAATGTTCAGAGATATATTTTAACTGTGTCTATAATATGTTATATTCATTTATTTAATATTTCCAGTACTTATTAAGTAAGTTGTATTACATGTATATTGTTGTAAGAAAAAAATTGAAAACCATGTTAAATATATTATTTTGAAAACAGAAATTCTATTTGGTTTTTGAGAACCAGGAAGTGTACATGCTAGTTTAATGGATCTGGATGAGATCTCTGCATCATCAACAGACAATGATAGAAAGTGGCCCACAGGATTCATAACTCAGTACACCTACCTCACCATACGGTCATTCCAGCTGGCCAAATCTCGACTCCTTGACCCGTCCAAAATCGTGGAACATGTGGTTATCTGTTTGATTTATACCCTGATCTGGTTCCAGCTATCAAGGACAGAAGAAACTGTGCAGGATAGAATGGGTGCTGTAAGCTGAATTTTTTAAAGAGATTTCTGCAAAATTTAAACATGTTGAAAAAATATATGCATTTTTACTTATAAGGCAAAATACAGATAAGATTAAAAATATCATTTATATCTTGATAACCATACTGAAAAGTATGTTAGAGAGAAATTGGAGTCCCAAACAAATTTTCTTCATGTATTTGTATATCAATGTACATGTACCCAATATGCGTATCTCAAATCCTCATGCTGATTCAGTCAAGCCTAGAATTGAGATTAAATTTGACATCTGAGATACTGAAATTCAGCTGTATCTCAAAGGTAAACATTATTTGTATTTTAAATACATGTACATGTATTTCAGATATTTTTTATTGCCATTCATTGGGGATTTTTGCCATTATTTGAAGCTGTGTCAACATGTAAGTAAACATTTATCATCTGGTAAATTAAAGGAAAAATCACTCTTCTATTTTAAAACATGTTAAAAGATATTGGACAAAAAAGTGTAATTTGTTTCTTATGCATGGTGCAAACTCTCAGATTGAATATTGAAAGAGGAATGCTCCTTTAATATACTAGTAGTTGATTTGTTTTGCATTAAGCTTACTTTGAAAAATATGTGATTTTCCTTCTCATTTCATAACACTTGCAGTACTGGCGAAGACAAACACTCTTTGTTGATTGAATTAACTCCTGCTAAAAGTGTGAAGAATTTTTAAGTGTTTCACTAAAAGTGAAGTGATTTATTAAGCCCCAAAATTAAAAAAAATTTTTTTTTATCTAATTTGGACTGTAATGAAATTTTCAGTAGACATTTAATATTATATAGAATTGAAGTACATTGTGTGTTTATCTATAACTACTTTGTACAAAAATGTAACATCTTTATAGCTCACCTGAGCCGAAGGCTCAAGTGAGCTTTTCTGATCACATTTTGTCCGTCGTCCGTCCGTCTGTCCGTCCGTCCGTCTGTCCGTCTGTCTGTCCGTCTGTAAACTTTTCACATTTTCGACTTCTTCTCAAGAACCAGTGGGCCAATTTTGACCAAACTTGGTACTCTCATCATGACAGCATATAAACGATTACTGGTAAGAAAAGAAAGAATCTCTCAAAAGGTAGCAGATTTTATTAACAGAAAAAATCTTTACATGAAGATTTGGTTTGAATATTATTCAAATTCTTGAAGATCAAGATGGGAAAGTTGAAGTCGTTCCACATAGACTTGGACAGTAAGCTTGGTGTATATACACCTGTTGAAAACAAAGCATACTTGGGTGAAGGGGAATTTAAATTGTGAAAATGAAGGGCCAAGTCCCCTCACAAGGGGAGATAATCAAGAAAAGACAAAAATAGGGTGGGGTAATTAAAAAAATCTTCTTCTCAAGAACCACTTGGCCAGAAAAGCTGAAACTTATGTGGAAGCATCCTTAGGTAGTGCAAATTCTAAATTGTTAAAATCATGACCCCCGGGGATAGGGCGGGGCCACAATGGGGAATCCAAATTTTACATAGAAATATATAGGACAAATCTTTAAAAATCTTCTTCTCAAGAACCACTGGGCAAGAAAAGCTGAAACTTATGTTGAAGCATCCTTAGGTAGTCCAGATTCTAAATTGTTAAAATCATGACCCCGGGGGATAGGGCGGGGCCACAATGGGGAATCAGTTTTACATAGAAATATATAGGAAAAATCTTTAAAAATCTTCTTCTCAAGAACCACTGGGCCAGAAAAGCTGAAACTTATGTGGAAGCATCCTTAGGTAGTTCAGATTCTAAATTGTTAAAATCATGACCACCGGGGATAGGGCGGGGCCACAATTGAGAATCAAAGTTTTACATAGAAATATATAGGAAAAATCTTTAAAAATTTTCTTCTCAAGAACCACTGGGCCAGAAAAGCTGACACTTACATGGAAGCATCCTGGGGTATTGCAGATTCTAAATTATTCAAATCATGACCCCCGGGGGTAAGGTGGGCCCAAATGGGGAATCAAAGTTTTACATAATGATATATGGGAAAATCTTTGAAAATCTTCTACTCAAGAACCACTAGGCCAGAAAAGCCGAAACTTATGTGGAAGCATCCTAAGGTAGTGCAGATTCTAAATTGTTAAAATCAGTTAAAAGCTGAAACTTGTGTGGAAGCATCCCAAGGTAGACTAAGTGTAGATTCTAAATTGTTAAAGTCTTGACCCCCAGGGGTTGGGCGGTGCCATAATGGGGGATCAAAGTTTTACATAGAAATATATAGGAAAAATCTTTGAAAATCTTCTTCTCAAGAACCACTGAGCCAGAAAAGCTGAAACTTATGTGTAAGCATCCCGGGATAGTGTAGATTCTAAATTGTTAAAATCATGATCCCCGGGGGTTGGGCAGGGCCACAATGGGGAATCAAAGTTTTACATAGAAATATATAGGAAAAATCTTCTTCTCAAGAACCACTGGGCCAGAAAAACTGAAACTTATGTGGAAGCATCCTGGGATAGTGTATATTCTAAATTATACTAATCATGACCCCTGGGGGTAGGACGGGGCCACATTGGAGAATCAAAGTTTTACTATGTTGAATCAAAGTATCCTATGGTAGTGTAGATTTAAAATTGTTTAAATTATGATCAGTTAGGTAGGGTGGGGTCACAATATGTATTACAAGGGGGAAATCTGGTAAAGAACATAATGGGCAAAGCTTCTCAGGTGAGCCATGTGGCCCATGGGCCTCTTGTAATTTGAAATTCAAATATTAGTACATGTAAATGAACATGAAATGATGCATATATGTTTACCTGTATTCTTGATTGACAGTTCCCATGGAGAGAGTGGTCATCAACAAAGAACGGGCATCAGGCTGGTATAGGCTGTCTGCTTACTACTGTGCTAAGATGACCAGTGAGCTTCCATTGACCCTGTTACAGCCTCTGACCTTTATAGGAGTCAGTTATTGGGCCATTGGTTTGAATGGAATTGAAGCATTTTTTGCCACCATTGGGACAGTTTTCATAGATAGTATTGTAGGACAGGTAAATAAAAATAATGTTTTCAACTACCTGAAAGGAGCTAGTATCAAAATATTCTTCAAGGACACCACTGTAATCCATACCAGTTAATGTGTTTATTTACTAAAGAGAATTTTTTATAGAAAATTTCCTAATTTTTTTTCCTTTGTCTGAAAACAAAATTAATTAATATAAAAAAAATTTCTTATTGATATAAATTAACTTTGTCCATTTACAGAGTATTGGACTTTTTCTGGGAATTATTAACACTGAAATGAGACAGGCTATCACAGTCACCATACTTATAGAAATGATCATCATGTTACTGGGTATGCTCTTTCTTACTTTACTTAACCTATTATATACTGGTACAGGTAGTACGTGTACATGTAATTTGAATCTTTTAACTAGAAACACCAGTAGCTGCAGAGCTGTAGCTTACTGGTGGAAAGAATTTTGGTGGTGAACCAGAGAGCTGCACTTTGAAAAATATGCAAAATTTATTTCCAGAAAAAAAATCAATATTAATGTCTCTGTGATACTATAAATGTACTACATTTGGCTGTGTATTCTTTCTAGCACCTTATGCAGAAAACAATATCTGATTATTCAAGTACAATTCTAAATGTCTTGCAAATGGAGCTATAATTAGGAATGTAAGTAAATGCACTAAATCAAATTTTTGCCTTTTTTCCATGTTGCTACATTTCTGCAGCTAAAACAATAGTAAATGGAATTTAAAGATGATTATCAAACAAATGTTCTGATAATTTTATATATATGCAGTGTTTTTTTTTTCTCAGCTGGACTGTTTACAAGAAACTTGCCCTTCTGGTTAGATTGGATGAAGTACCTGTCTTTTATATTCTATTCCTACAACTGTTTGATGTATCTAGAGTTCAACAATGGCCCTCCCTTGGAGTAAGATTTAAATCATATTTCAAGTCATCACTCTTCAATATTAGAAATTTTTATTTCGTTTTCATTTCAGTACACTATTTACTTCTTAATGATACATGTACATAAAATTTGAAGCAACATCGTATATTTTGCTTTTTCTTGAGTCAGTTAATAAGTTCATGGGGAACATTTATCCGGAATATAAAATGAATTTGTCAAAAATACAATATTTGTGTGTTTTTACCCCCAGCTGTTACCGGGGAGGAAATGGATCAGCATACCCAGTCTGCCATGTTGCTAACACTACAAAGATTCCCTCCCACCAGGTGCTGGAGCACTATGACATTACATGGGAATTCTGGCAATACTTGCTGCCTTTGTTTGGTTTCGCCATTGTCTTTCGCAGTTTGGGGTATATATGGCTGCGGTTCGTGCAGAAACCTCACTGACATGAAGTTCATTGGAAGAGAATCACATATCTGAGGTGCTATATAATCAAATGTTATATTTTTTTTATAAATCTGGCAAAGAAGAAATGCTAGAAAAAATGTTCAGATGCTCTTTGTATAAATAAGAAACTTTCCATCTGGTTTTAGTAATACATGTAAGTAAAAATTTCAAAGCAATTTAAGTAATTAGTAATTTTTTAGCTATCTGTGGTGATAATTAAATTTTTAAACAGTTTTAGTGATAATAAGATTTTATATCCCGTTATTTTTTAGTAATGAGCTTACTTTCCAGCTATTAATGTACCGGTATCTCAAATAAATCTAGATCTTACTCAAGATTTTATTTTCAATTGAACTGCATGTCTATCGGTAAACTATGATATATTTTCCTTTTCTTGATTTACAAATTTGAGTTAGATACCTTAATGATATATTGAAGCTGTAGAACTGTAGTTCGCTGGTCTGAAAAATTGGGATGCCTGACCAGAAAGTAACAGTACCACCAATTGGAGAAATTTAACATGTATATTACATGTATTATTATGCACAAAAAATGATCTTTCGCAGCTTAATACATGTATATTATTAAAATGGGGCAATTTTTTGTTTTAAATTAAATTATGTGCTTCAAGGCATTCCACATGCAGAGTTAATGCTATGGTACCAAAATTCAACAGTATATTTTTTCAACTTTACGTATCCTTTACTCATGTTGAATATTGTAAGATTTTATCAAATATATAATTGATTGTATATATTTTTTTCATACTGATTATGAATCGAAAATGCATATCATTTTTATTGATTAATTTTTATTTGGTCAAACTCGAAATATACTTATAGAGATTGTGTTAATACTTGATTGCAGATTGGTACGTTTTAGCCAAATATATATGAATTAGAATTAGTGCATAATGAAACATTGTATGAGATTATCATTTGTGAAAAGAATCAAGTTTTTATTCAGAATTGGAATTTTGATGTCTTATTTAATTTACATATTTGTATTCAAGTACACTGTATTATACATTATTTTATTTTAATATTTCTTTTATTCCTCTCCTTTTTTTAAAAGTATTTTATCTTTGAATCTCAATGCATAATCATAACCTGATTAAGTGCCTATTGATTTAAAACATACTGTATACAGGAAATGTAAATTTTAGAAATGCGGCATTAGTAAACAGCTGGTAACTACATGTAGTAACTTTTTTAAATACAGTATATATATATAATTTATTTTTAAAAACTTGAACAAATAATTATTGGGATATCTCAATGCATCAATGTATTGTGACTCAAGAGGTCTTTTTTCACATTAATACAATAAATAAATTATCAAGGTTTCCTCCTTCCTCAAAATCAAAAGAACAATGGGGGAGAAAGCAGCAAATGTATAAATGATTTTTAGCTCACCTGAGCCGAAGGCTCAAGTGAGCTTTTCTGATCACATTTTGTCCGGCGTCTGTCTGTCCGTCTGTCTGTCTGTCTGTCTGTAAACTTTTCACATTTTCGACTTCTTCTCAAGAACCGCTGGGCCAATTTCAGCCAAACTTGCCACAAAGTATCCTTGGGTGAAGGGGATTCAAGTTTGTTCAAATAAAGGGCCACGCCCTTATTCAAGGGGAGATAATTGGGAATTAATGAAAATTTAGTGGTATATTTTAAAAATCTTCTTCTCAAGAACCACTGTGCCAGGAAAGATGAAACTTATGGGGAAACATCCTCAGGAAGTGTAGATTCAAATTTGTTCAAATCATGACCCCCGGGGGTAGGGCGGGGCCAAAATGGCCGACCAAAGTTTTACGTAGAAATATATAGGAAAATTCTTTAAAAATCTTCTTCTCAAGAATGACAAAGCCATAATTCATCATATTTATATGGGAGCATGCTCATGTAGTGTAGATTCAAGTTTGTTCAAATCATGACCCCCCGGGTAAGGGCGGGGCCAAAATGTCCGACCAAAGTTTT